GCTCTCCAGTGTCGGACCCTCCAGTGTCGCCCGTTTCTCTCAGAATAAAATCTCCATCTTGTCCTACACTGCCCTTTTCTGATTCTTCTTGTCGCTCTCCCCCTTGCTCCCTCTGTAGCAGCCACACTGGCCTCCTTACTGTTCCTCAAACTCACCAAGCACATTCCCATCTCCGAGGTTTGTGTTTGCTGTTCCCTCTGGCTGAAATGCTCTTCCACCCACACATCTGCGCGGCTGTCTTCTTCACTTCCTTCAGATCTCACTCAAAGTCATCAAAGGGAGGTTCTCTGACCACCCGACATGAATTGCATCTACTTCCATCTCTATCCGTCTTATTTCACTTTGTTTTTTTTTTTTCTTAGCACTCATTTCCATCTGACACATTAGAGCTTTATTTATTTGTTTGTTTAGTATCGGTGTCCCCCCACCTCCAGAATGTAATCTACAGAAGAGCTTCAATTTTGTTTTATATTCTCTTGTATCACTAAAATAATCCCTCGGCACATAGTGGGCAATAAATACTTGTCAAATGTATGAATAAATGAGCTCTCCTCTTATCCAGTCTTACAACCAGCCAGTCCTTAGCTAGCTGACGGTTTATTAATTAAGAATAACTATCTATCTGCAAGAGCTCCTGCTATCTATCTATACAAACCTTATCTATAATACATAGCTTAGTGCAATCTGTCTAAATTTAGGTATTTTACACGTAACCAATATTCTGCTGGGGGGCTTCAGCTGGGATTGTTCACAAGGGTGTTCCTTAAGGATAATTTGATTCAACACCCCCCAGATAAGATTTTACCTAAAAGCATTAAAATTATACACTCAGTTATTCAGTTAATTGAAATTACACTGGAATGTATGTCTTACACTGGAATGTGTATGTGATAAATGTGAGTTTTGTTCAAAATATTTGTCCCTCCTCATATCAAGAGTGGAAAGCGGTTTGGAAGCCAGGGGTGGCCAGATTCATGTCTCAATCCGTCATGCCTTTTTCCTACCATATTCCTACTCCAGGTTCTCGCATGCGAGGTGAGAGCCAGTGAGGGGGAGCATGGTGCTTAAAAAGTTGCAACACTGGAGCCAGGCTTTGTTGATTAAAATCCAGGCCCTGCTGCTCAGTGGCTCTGTGTCCTTGGGTAAGTTACTTAACGTCTCTGAAACTCAGTTTCTTTATCAGGGCTAAGACTCCCCGCCTCCAGGGTTGTCTTGAGGATTTAATGAGTTAATCCATGCAAAGCACTTACGGGATTGGCCCATGGAAAGTACATGTTAGCTATGATTATTACTAATATTCCTCCTGATAAAACAGCTGTCACTTCTTAAGAGTTTTACTGTCCTTTTTCCTGGGCACCTGGCCCAGGATTTACTGCACAGTACGCTGTGTTCAATCGGTACAGCCACCACACCCTTGGATCCCTTGCTGCTAGTGTTATAGGCTCTGTCTTCTCCCTTCCGACTCTTCTCTCCCCCTCCCCCTCTCCTCCCTCCTTCCCTACTTCCTTCCTTCCCCCTCTTCCCTCCCATTCTCCTCATAAATCCTGCCTTTTCTTCCTTTCTTCTACACTTTCTCATACATTGTACGGTCTGTTCTGCGTTAGCTCTCCCTGTCTTCTCCTCCATTCCCGTGCTGTTTCCGTTCTCATCCACAGAGGAAAGCTCTGGACGGGAAGGAGCCGTCATGTCACCAGGAAGAGTCCCCAGAAGCAAATCTTTCGGAGCTCTCACTTCCTGGGTAGAATTTTGCTCCTTCAAGGGGCCTCTGCCTCTGCGATCTGAAGCCCTTTATCAAAGACTGCTTGCTGCTCAAGTGGATCAGAAATGCCATCTCAGCACTTTTAACCCATGTGTGGGTTATACCAGCAGCATCCAGTGCTTTAGAAAACACTGACATGTCTTATCAACAATCATGGGCGAACCATAAAATCAACCATAACCAATTGTATTGCTTGCTGCTCCTAGGGGGCATGGATGAAATAATGTGGTTGCTTTGATGCCTAATAAAGTTCAATTCCAGTGATGGTGAGAATGTAGGAAGGAATGAAAGACATGTTCAGGGCAAATGTGGTTTCTTTTTCCCCCTTCTTGCCCTGTTAGATTAGGAACTCCTCGAGCAAAGGGACCATGTCTGCTGGCTTCATTTGTAATGTTTAGGACCAGTGCCCAGCTTAGTGCCTTATTCACAATATGTGCTCAGTCATTAAACACTCCCTGAATTTTTGCTTTCCAAGTACTAGACAAACGTGGTCAAAAATTCTGAGTCCACAAAGGCTAAAAGAATGAAGTGCTTTATGTGCTTGCCATTCAGGTAGCTTTGTAAAACATACAATTCTAAGCGCTAAATTGTCAGACCAGTAAAAAAAAAATTATCATAAATCTCAATAGTCCTATAAATGTTTACGGCATAGCTTTGGCAATTATTACAGTAGACCCCCTTATTCGTGGTTTCGCTTTCCACAGTTTTAATTACTTGCAGTCAACCATCGTCAGGAAGCAGATGATCCTCCTTTTGACCTCTCCGCAGAAGTTCAAGAGTAGCCTAACGCTAGGTCACAATGCCTTCGTCATTCACCTCACTTCCTCTCATCATGTAGACATTTTCTCATCTCACAATCATCACAGAAAGGAAGATGAGTACCATACAATAAGGTACTCTGAGAGAGAAAGAGAGAGACCACATTCACATAACTTTTACTGCAGTGTATTGTTATTATTGTTCTATTATGAGTTACCATTGTTCATCTCTTACTGTGCCTACTTTATCAATTAAACTTTATCATAGGTATGTATGCATAGGAGAAACCAGTATATATGGGGTTTGGTTCTATCCGTGGTTTTAGGGCATCCACTGGGCGTCTTGGAAAGTATCCCGAGTGGATAACGGGGGACTACTGTATTGTGAATTATAGTGATATAGAAATATATCTTAATTCTTTCTATTACTTGTTAAACTCCTTGGGGAATTAGTTTCTACTGTTGTGCTATACACATCATATACTTCTAATGCCTGTTCGATGAATAAATGATGAAATGGATGATGTTATACTTCCACTCATTCAGAATGTTCAAAGAGGTTTCACATATTTCAATGGTCTTTTTAAGTAAAAGTTACTATCTGTATAATATATATGGATTGACATTAAAATATAAAATTCTATAAGTCAAAATTATACCAAACAATATATTTTTTACGATTCAAAAGGCACTTCAAGATCTTTAACTTACAAAATGTAGAGAAACCAGTTGATTTCCTAAAAATATATCTTCATCTCCTGTTTTGGTCTACCAGTAGTTTACCATGACTTTTAAATAAATCTGCTTTGTCAAGTTGTCTAGTTGTATGGATTCTGAATAAAAAGCAATTTTATATTCTGGCTAGAAAGATTTTAGAAGGCTAAAAAGTACCTTGAGAAAGACAACATAACATAGAACCAAGGTGATGAAAATGATTATATTTTAATTTTTGTTAATACATTTGTATCTTGACATATTACATTTCTAGACCAAAATGGTTTGTACATCTCTGTTGCTTGAGCAGGAGGAAATCATTATAATGAAAAGAGTTATTGAAAATGGTCCATGTTGTGTAATTCCCAGGATAAATGGGCTGAGTAGCAAATATTTCTGTTGTGAACTGTTTTATACTGAAATGTGCATTATTAAACCCATTTGTTGAGCACATTGAAAGATCGAATATCTTCCTAACTCGACACTGGAAAATGTTTATTTGCCATTCCTCTCCTTCCTCTGCTCTGATCTTGTTAGATATTGTTTCTGGGTTTTCTGGAATCCATCCATATTAGAGGGGGAAAAAAATCATAGCCGAAGAAACAAAAAAACCCCCAGAATTTACAATTTATAAACACATATTTTTAACAAGATCATAAGAAATTTAAAATAGCATACATAATAGAAACCGCATGTAGGAAAACATATAGAACGATGTGGTGGGTGACCATTTTTACACCATCATAACGACCCCATACATTTGAAGAACACAAAAACAGTAGTCATCAGGTTATAAGAATTTGAAGGTAGCAAAGGAATGCTAGTGATCAAGATGGTTTGGAGGTGATGTGATGCCCTTTTGATTTTGTGAGGTTACTTTATGCATACTGTGTACTGAAGTAATATACGTTTAACTATTGCCCTTTAAAACACTGTGTGTGCAATCAAGTTGTTTTTATTTCATTTAGAGTAATCATATGTGGGCCTGGTTCCCTGTTCCAATTACTTCCCCCCAAAACCCACCTCTGTTGAAAAATCAATTGAGCACCAAAGATTAGAGTTGAAGGCACTGGCAACAGCTGGAGTGGAAGAAGCAGAAAGCAGCTTTCCTCTTCGATGATCCTTTTCTCCTCCAGTGAATGCCCCTTATATAGAGTCAAATCAGAAGTAAAACATCCAGGTGTAGATTTATCTATTTCCTCATTCATTCAACAAATACCTACTGCGTGCCTACCATGTGCCACCTGAGTACTCAGTGTGGGGACATGTTATAAAAAGTTGTTAAAATGACATTGGGGTTCTGGAGAGAGCTTGAATTTCAAAATATAGAATTGGAAGTCGGATACGTGGTGTAAGAAGTGCCTTTGAAGCAGATGAAAACTGAGGGAAGTTAAATGAAGAGACAGGTGTATGTAGAGATGCAGAGGAGATACGAGACCAGTTACGTTCAATTGCTTTGGGAAGTCTCTGCTATGGATGCTACAGGGAAGATACAGAAGGTTTTGAGGAGAGAGAATTATGTGTGTAGAGTTGTTGGGGAGAATGCTCCCAGCACCGAGTCGGGGGACTGTTGTCGGCATTGTGGCACAATGGAAGCGAGCATGAGTGTGGAATGATGAGCAGGAGTAGTCCCGGCTTTCCTCCAGCAATGCTCCTGGGCATACATGGGAACACTGGATAGCGTGTATGATGTGGTTTTGCCCACTGACATCAGGGTGACAAGGATATGACGGGGGCCTAGGTGGAGAGGGCAATAATGGGCTCAGAAGAGAGCTCATGGATGGATTAAACTATGAGGGATTTAGCATTTATTGAACTCAGGGAGCAGAAAGCAGGAGAAGGTTGGGAAGGGGAGGAGTGCAGTGGTACAACTGGGGGCTGTGTATAAAAACCAAATATTCCAAGTGCCTGTCGTGGTTAAATTCAGGGAATGATCCTGCTGGTGCATGGCTGAAGGAGGCTGGAGTTGGAGGACCGCAGGGAACAAGATCATGGGACTCGACAGCTGAGGTAACTGATGGGCCCTCAGCACGCATCCCGAAGTTGTCAGAAAGTGGTGATGAGGAATGAGGACATGGAGGAAGATCATAAGCCAGGTGCTGCATTCATTTAGAAAGATGGAAGTCTCATGCGAGTTCAGTAAACCACAGGTGTGGCGCCTCTAAGATGGTGGAACAGAGCACTGGTGTCACTTTTAAATGAGGAGGAAAAAGAAGTGGACAGCTGAGTAGCCCAAAAGTTTGAAGTCTGGGCTTGTAAATTACTGGAAGAAAAATCCCAAGAGGGCCAGAGCTTATTTTGAAGACATCCAGACATTATATACAATCAGCCACATTTTTTCTAGGTTATTCAAATGCATGTTAATTTATTAGTTGTTGATTTGATTATTCATCATTATGGATACTGTCTTGGGTAAGAAAAAGAAAAAGATGTTATTTTATATTCTGCCTTGATTCCTTTCTGACACTTCTTTGGTTGTATTTTTTTCATGGTCTCTCAGCTTTAAAAATGTCGAATAGTGGGAGGGAGGATACGCTTTCCCAAATATCAGATACTCAAGGCTTTTTACATATATCAGAAATGAGATCCTGTTGGCAGAACCAACTAAACTAGAGAGTATGTTACTTTTCAAAGTAATCCTCTGTATCTGAAAGAAAAACACTGTATTAATCCTTTTTTTCTTTCTAAATACCATAATTTATTTAATCTTACTTATATAATCATAGTCTTGGACTGGTTTTCAAAACCACCATTATATTAAGTATGTAAAATACAACTGATATGATTATTGGAGTGTATACTTTTTGCATTAGAATGGAGAACACAAATTTTGATGAGTTTCCTGACATATGAACAAGTGCTCTGATAACTTTACAGACATACCAGTATATTCATAGATATTCTGATTATTGCAAAGCCAGTTGTTTGTTTGTTTGTTTGTTTGTTTTGCATGGATAGCTACCTAAATTGTTTAGGAAGCATAGAGAATGCTATTTAAATCACAATATAATAAACCCCTTCCAAGGAACTTCTTTAGTAGGGGCAACAGATCATAGCAGTAATGGTTGTCGTTGACAAACACCTGTCCTTTATAGTTACGTGCTAAAAGGCAGGTGTTCTTATATTTATTATGCTTCTATTGTGCTTTCCATCACTACTATAACAAATGTTGATAATCTGAAAGATTTCATAGCACTAAGAGCAAACAAACCCTATTCATACATTGAGATGAATTTATTACTTTTCATTCCTTATTTAAGTAAACCAAGTCCACGGAATTCGAAAGTAAGATATTACCACTTTCCTACTTTCCTGCCTGCCGTGTTAATTCTCCTTTGGAAGACAGTTGTCTTGCCTGCTGGATCCTTCTCTTAGTCTGACTCTGTTTGATATGAGATCAAAGGGCTTTCATTTTCTGTATCAATTAGGCTGGCTGTCTTGTCTCAATGAGATTAAGTAGCCTCTGGAGAGTAGTGACACCAGAACAGCCGTAGATGAGCTGATGGTTAGCATACAATATGGCTGTCTTAATTCTTTCTAAATGATAGTTTGTCTAGTCTGATGTCTTTTTTTTATGGTTGTGTCTGAGGCTCATTTGTTCAGGGCAACCATGCAGCACACACCAGACCTGATAATCAGTGGTCTGAGTTTCTAAAAAGGCTGGAAAGACACATCAATTCTCTCGCAGGCTTAAGATATTTCCCCTACTTAGGCAAAGTCCAGCTTTCTGTGGCTGTTTCTTTGATTTTTTTTTTTTTTGGTAGGATACCAAGTACCAGAATATTTTACTCCAAATACATTCTAAATCTTATACCCCAAATTTACCTCAAAGTTGCTTAAAGGAAGCATTATCAAAAGCATTTGTGGAGCCCCAGGCAAAGCTATGTAAACCCAGTGTTAGTCTTGCTGTACAGAGATTCTTCTGTATCTAGAAGTTTGTGGTCTGCATTTTCCACTGTCATATTTAACCACCCTTTTTTTAAAAAAAGATTTTATTTATTTATTTGAGAGAGAGAGAAAATGAGCAGGGGGGAGGGGCAGAGGGAGAGGGAGAGAGAGAGAGAGAGAGAGAGAGAGAGAGAGAGAGAAGCAGACTCCCTGCTGAGCAGGGAGCTGGATGCAGGGCTCGATCCCAGGACTTGGAGATCAAGAACTGAGCTGAAGGCAGACGCTTAACCGACTGTGCCACCCAGGAGCCCCTTAACCAACTTTCTTGAGATGAATATTTAATGATGTCACTGGAGAAAGTGAAGCAATGTGTTTAAAGGAGTAGACAACACACTGGTATTTATTAACAACATCTTCTCTCCACCTGTTCACTCTGTCTTTACCTTCAGAGATTTCCTCGCCAGCTGCTTTGTCAAGAAAAAAAGAGATCGTCAGGCATCAACTCACCGACTTGGTCTTCCTCACCATCTTCAGACGTCTCTAGGCTTAAACCTATTCTTCCTTCTTCCCTCTTATCCCGGAAGAAAAACTTCTACAACTTTCCAAGTCTTGACCTTCACCCTGAGCCCTCAAAATCTGGCTTCCTCAGTATCTCCCCTCCTCTCATGTTTGTGACCCATCCTTTCTCTTCTGGGTGCACATGTGCTCGAGACTCCACCAGACGTTAAAGAAATAAAAAACAGTGACAAAAACAACCATTCTTTCTTTAGCTCAACTTCCTTTTTTTCTGGGCTAATGCCTTACATTTCACCTTTTCATCATCAGATTCTCAAGAAAGAAGACTACATGACTTATTCTATTCATTAGGTCCTATTCTCTCTCTCTTTTAAAGATTTTATTTATTTATTTATTTATTTATTTATTTATTTATTTATTTATTTATTTGATAGAGAGAGAGAGCACAAGCAGGGGAATCAGCAGGCAGAGGGAGAGGGAGAAACAGGCTCCCGCCGAGCAGGGAGCCCGAAGCAGGGCTCAATCCCAGGACCCTGGGATCATGACCTGAGTCGAAGGCAGATGCTTAACGACTGAGCCACCCAGGTGCCCTCTTTTTTTTTTTTTTAACAATAAACACCATTATTCCATGACCAAAGATAAGAGGGAGGAAGATTTATTTGCCTTTCTAGGCTTTGATTTTCCTAAGATAGGACTCTAGCTCCCTGCCTTCTAGTGTGGAGCCATCTACTCAGCCACACTGGCCTGGTCTTGAAGCGATGCATGCAAGAAGCTTGCCCTGCTGGAGCTGCTCCTCCAGAAGACAAAAACAGGGAATGCTTTGCAGATTTGTTTGTCATCCTTGCTCAGGGATCTTCTCTATATTGTTCTAATTTTAGTGTATGTGCTGCTGACGGGAGCACGGTCCCATTCTCTTTTTAATCCACTGCCGTCTGATTTCTCCGCTCACTGCTGCTCTCACTAGGGTGGGTAAGAACACTGAGTTACCAGTGGACACTGTCCTACTTGCCTCTCTTGTCCATTTGCCACTAACGGTTAGTATTTCTGTCAGGAAAGTTGTCTTCTCTTCTGAGCTCTGCTTTACTTCCTTCTCCTGGTCCCCCTTGTGTATCCTTCTAAGTGTTTTGCCTCTTCAATTATTTTTTGTCCCTCTGTCCATCCCTGAGAAGTTGGGGTTCCCTAGGGTTTGTTTCTTACCCTTTCTCCTCCTTCCCCTCCTCATCCCCCTCACCCCAAGGCAATCTCATGCTTTGGCCTGATTTCTTCTCCAGCCATAGATCTGTATCTCCAACTACTCAAAGGAGTTCCCCTTGAGGCACCTCAAAATTCAGCACACAGTAAAGAACTGACAGGGCATTCTCCCTACAAATTGTTCACAAAGATTTCTTCTCCCTTTCTCCCTAGCTCAGCCAGAACCCCATCCTTCTCCCAGATGCCCAAGAGTGAACCGTGACCCTCCTCTAACTTCCTTACTGCCTTTCAGTTCTACCTCCTGAGAAGCCATCTCCTGCCCCTTCATTCTTCATTCCACTGCTCCAGTCCAGGTCAGAGCTCATCACTTCATACCTGGAAGCTTGCATCTAGGCTTTTCCTTAGTCATATTTCTACAACCAGATTGGATCATGTCACTACCAGGATTAAGGACTGTTTTCAATTTCCATCTGCCTGCAGGATATGCTTTAGCCCGAAGTCCTTAGTGCGGCATAAGATCCCCTTCAGAATGTAGCCAAGTCTGATTTTCTATTTACTCTTTGGTTTCCCACCCCCATATGCCTTACACACTCCAGAATGTTCCCCATTTGTGCCTTCATAGCTAAGATCAAGGTGCTGCTTTCCCTGAAATGTTCCTGTTTCTTCTCTCCTCTTTCTGCCTGGCAAATCCTGATTCCTCCTTTTATGTGAAGCTGCCGTGTCGCCTCCTTTCTATTCCACTAGTCTTTGCTGACCACAGCCTCCACCCCACTCCCCCTCTTTCACAAAACGAACTGTTTTGCTTTTGCTGTTCCAGAGCATTTTATGCAGGCTCCCACTTAAAGTCCTTGTCTCATTGTCTTACAGCTATTTTTCTGCTGCTCTGTCTCCCCTACCAGACTACCAGCTCTTCTAAAGCCATGTTCACCTTTCCCGCTATGCCAAAGATGCTCACCAAACTCCAACTATGTCTTCAAGATAAAATAAAAAGCCTAAGTGGGACAACTGGGTGGTTCAGCTGGTAAAGTGTCCAGCTCTTTTTTTTTTAAGGTTTTATTTATTTATTTGAGAGAGAGAGGGAGAGAGAACGAGCAGTGGGGAGGGGCAGAGGGAGAGAGAGAGAGTGGATGCCCTGCTGAGCAGGGAGCCCAAGGAAGGGCTTGATCCCAGGACCCAGAGATCATGACCTGAGCTCAAAGCAGGCACTTAACCGATTGAGCCACCCAAGCACCCCAAGTGTCTGACTCTTGATTTCTGCTCGGGTAACGATCTCAGGGTCCTGGGATCAAGCCCCATGTGGGGCTCTGTGCTCAGCACAGAGTCGGCTGAAGAGTCTCTCTCTCCCTCCCCCTCTGTCCCTCCCCCCACTTGTGCATGTATACACACTCTCTTTCAAATAAATAAATTGAAAGAAA